TTCCTATCCATGAGCAAAAGACAAGAACCACATGATTATCTCAATAGATGCAGAAAAGGCTTTTGACAAAATTCAACAGCCCTTCATGCTAAAAACGCTCAATAAATTCGGTATTGATGGAATGTACCTCAAAATAATAAGAGCTATTTATGACAAACCCACAGCCAATATCATACTGAATGGGCAAAAACTGGAAAAATTCCCTTTGAAAACTGGCACAAGACAGGGATGCCCTCTCTCACCACTCCTATTCAACATAGTGTTGGAAGTTCTGGCTAGGGCAATTAGGCAAGAGAAAGAAATCAAGGATATTCAGTTAGGAAAAGAAGAAGTCAAATTGTCCCTGTTTGCAGATGACATGATTGTATATTTAGAAAACCCCATTGTCTCAGCCTAAAATCTCCTTAAACTGATAAGCAACTTCAGCAAAGTCTCAGGATACAAAATTAATGTGCAAAAATCACAAGCATTCTTATACACCAGTAACAGACAAACAGAGAGCCAAATCAGGAATGAACTTCCATTCACAATTGCTTCAAAGAGAATAAAATACCTAGGAATCCAACTTACAAGGGATGTAAAGGACCTCTTCAAGGAGAACTACAAACCACTGCTCAGTGAAATAAAAGAGGACACAAACAAATGGAAGGACAGTGGCGTTTTCTAAATACACAATCATGTCATCTGCAAACAGGGATAATTTGACTTCCTCTTTTCCTAATTAAATACCTTTTATGTCTTTCTCCTGCCTGATTGCCCTGGCCAGAACTTCCAACACTGTGTTGAATAGGAGTGGTGAGAGAGGGCATCCCTGTCTTGTGCCAGTTTTCAAAGGGAATGCTTCTAGTTTTTGCCCATTCAGTATGATATTGGCTGTGCATTTGTCATAAATAACTCTTATTATGTTTGAGATACGTCCCATCAATACCTAGTTTATTGAGAGTTTTTAGCATGAAGGGCTGTTGAATTTTGTCAAAGGCCTTTTCTGTATCTATTGAGATAATCATGTGGGTTTTGTCTTAGGTTCTGTTTATATGATGGATTACATTTATTGATTTGCATATGTTGAACCAGCCTTGCATCCCAGGGATGAAGCCAGCTTGATCATGGTGGATAAGTTTTTGATGTGCTACTGGATTCAGTTTGCCAGTATTTTATTGAGGATTTTCGCATCAATGTTCATTAGGGATATTGGTCTAATATTCTCTTTTTCTGTTGTGTCTCTGCCAGGCTTTGGTATCAGGATGATGCTGGCCTCATAAAATGAGTTAGGGAGGATTCCCTCTTTTTCTGTTGATTGGAATAGTTTCAGAAGGAATGGTACCAGCTCCTCTTTGTACCTCTGGTAGAATTTGACTGTGAATCCATCTGGTCCTGGACTTTTTTTGGTTGGTTGGTAGGCTATTAATTATTGCCTCAATTTCAGAGCCTGTGATTCGTCTATTCAGAGATTCAAGTTCTTCCTGGTTTAGTCTTGGGAGGGTGTATGTGTCCAAGAATTTATCCATTTCTTCTAGGTTTTCTAGTTTATTTGCATAGAGGTGTTTATAGTATTCTCTGATGGTAGTTTGCATTTCTGTGGGGTCGGTGGTGACATACCCTTTATCATTTTTTATTGCGTCTTTTTGATACTTCTCTCTTTTCTTCTTTATTAGTCTTGCTAGTGGTCTGTCAATTTTGTTGATCTTTTCAAAAAACCAGCTGCTGGATTCATTGATTTTTTTTGGAGGTTTTTTTTTTTGTCTGTCTCCTTCAGTTCTGCTCTGATCTTAGGTATTTCTTGCCTTCTACTAACTTTTGAATATGTTTGCTCTTGTTTCTCTAGTTTTAATTGTGATGTTAGGGTGTCAATTTTAGATCTTTCCTGCTTTCTCTTTTGGGCATTTAGTGCTATAAATTTCCCTCTACACACTGCTTTAAATATGTCCCAGAGATTCTGGTATATTGTGTCTTTGTTCTCGTTGGTTTCAAAGAACATCTTAATTTCTGCCTTCGTTTCGTTATGTACCCAGTAGCCATTCAGGAGCAGGTTGTTCAGTTTCCATGTAGTTGAGCGGTTTTGAGTATCTTAATCCTGAGTTCTAGTTTGATTGCATTGTGGTCTGAGAGACAGTTTGTTATGGTTTCTGTTCTTTTACATTTGCTGAGGAGTGCCGCACTTCCAAATATGTGGTCAATTTTGGAATAAGTGTGATGTGGTGCTGAGAAGAATGTATATTCTGTTGACCTGGGGTGGAGAGTTCTGTAGATGTCTATTAGGTCTGCTTGGTGCAGAGCTGAGTTCATTTCCTGGATATCCTTTTTAACTTTCTGTCTCGTTGATCTGTCTAATGTTGACAGTGGAGTATTAAAGTCTCCCATTATTATTGTGTGGTGAGTCTAAGTCTTTTTGTAGGTTTCTAAGGACCTACTTTATGAATCTGGGTGCTCCTGTATTGGGTGCACATATATTTAGGATAGTTAGCTCTTCCTGCTGAGTTGATCCCTTTTCCATTATGTAATGGCCTTCTTTGTCTCTTTTGATCTTTGTTGGTTTGAAGTCTGTTTTATCAGAGACTAGGATTGCAACCCCTGCTTTTTTTTGTTTTCCATTTGCTTGGTAGGTCTTCCTCCATCCCTTTGTTTTGAGCCTGTGTGTGCCTCTGCACGTGAGATGGGTCTCCTTTATACAGCACACTGATGGGTCTTGACTCTTTATCCAATTTGCTGATCTGTGTCTTTTAATTCGGGCGTTTTGCCCATTTACATTTAAGTTTAATATTGTTATGTGTGAGTTTGATCCTGTCATTATGATGTTAGCTGGTTATTTTGCTGGTTAGTTGATGCAGTTTCTTCCTAGCATCAATGGTGTTTCCAGTTTGGCATGTTTTTGCAGTGGCTGGTACCGGTTGTTCCTTTCCATGTTTAGTGCTTCCTTCAGTAGCTCTTGTAAGGCAGGCCCGGTAGTGACAAAATCTCTCAGCATTTGCTCGTCTGTAAAGAATTTTATTTCTCCTTCACCTATGAAGCTTTGTTTGGCTGGATATGAAATTCTGGGTTGAAAGTTCTTTTCTTTAAGTATGTTGAATATTAGCCCCCACTCTCTTCTGGCTTGTAGAGTTTCTTCCGAGAGATCCGCTGTTAGTCTGATGGGCTTCCCTTTGTGGGTAACCCAACCTTTCTCTCTGGCTGCCCTTAACATTTTTTCCTTCATTTCAACTTTGATGAATGTGAAAATTGTGTGTCTTCAAGTTGCTCTTCTCGAGTATCTTTGTGGCATTCTCTGTATTTCCTGAATTTGAATGTTGGCCTGCTTTGCTGGGTTGGGGAAGTTCTCCTGGATAATGTCCTGAAGAGTGTTTTCCAACTTGGTTCCATTCTCCCCAACACTCTCAGGTACACCAATGAGACATAGATTTGTCTTTTTACATAGTCCCATATTTTTTGGAGGCTTTGTTCCTTTCTTTTTACTCTTTTTTCCTCTAAATTTCTTGCTTCATTTCATTCATTTGATCTTGAATCAATGATACCCTTTCTTCCACTTGGTCAAATCGGCTACTGATGGTTGTGCATGTGTCACGTAATTCTTGTGCCATGGTTTTCAGCTCCATCGGGTCATTTAAGGTCTTCTCTATGCTGTTTATTCTGGTTAGCCATTCGTCTAATCTTTTTTCAAAGTTTTTAGCGTCTTTGCGATGAGTTCAAACATCCTCCTTTAGCCCGGAGAAGTTTGTTATTACCGATCATTTGTAGTCTTCTCTCAACTTGTCAAAATCATTCTCCGTCCAGGTTTGTTGCATTGCTGTTGAGGAGCTGTGTCCCTTTGGAGGAGAAGAGGTGTTTGATTTTAGAATTTTCAGCGTTTCTGCTCTGGTTTCTCCCCATCTTTGTGGTTTTGTCTACTGTGGGTGTCTTTGATGATGGTGACGTACAAATGGGGTTGTGGTGTGGTTGTCCTTTTTGTTTGTTAGTTTTCCTTCTAACAGTCGGGACCCTCAGCTGCAGATGATGGTGACATACAAATGAGGTTTTGGTGTGGATGTCCTCTCTGTTTGTTAGTTTTCCTTCTTTGTTAGTTTTCCTTCTAACAGTCAGGACCCTCAGCTGCAGGTCTGTTGGAGTTTGCGGGAAGTCCACTCCAGATCCTGTTTGCCTGGGTGTCACCCGTGGAGGCTGCAGAACAGCAAATATTGCAGAACGGAAAATGTTGCTGCCTGATCCTTCCTCTGGAAGCTTCATCTCAGAGGGGCACCTGGCTGTATGAGGTGTCAGTCGGTCAGATGTCTCCCAGTTAGGCTACTTGGGGATCAGGGACCCACTTGAGCTGGCAGTCTGTCCGTTCTCAGATCTCAAGCTCCATGCTGGGAGAACCACTATTCTCTTCAAAGCTGTCAGACAGGGACGTTTAAGTTTGCAGAAGTTTCTGCTCCCTTTTGTTCAGCTCTGCCCTGCCTCCAGAGGTGGAGTATACAGAGGCAGGCAGGCTTCTTTGAGCCACGTTCAAGCTTCCCGGCCGCTTTCTTTGCCTAGTCAAGCCTCAGCAATGGTGGACGCCCCTCCCCCAGCCTCACTGCCGCCTTGCAGTTCGATCTCACTGCTGTGCTAGCAGTGAGTGAGGCTCCGTGGGCGTGGGACCCTCCAAGCCAGGCGCGGGATATAATCTCCTGGTGTGCCATTTGCTAAGATTATTGGAAAAGCGCAGTATTAGGGTGGGAGTGTCCTGATTTTCCAGGTACTGTCACAGCTTCCCTTGGCTAGGAAAGGGAATTCCCCAACCCCTTGCACTTCCCTGGTGAGGCGACGCCCTACCCTCGTTCGACTCACAGTCTGTGGGCTGCACCCACTGTCCGACAAGCCCCAATGAGATGAACCCAGTACCTCAGTTGGAAATGCAGAAATCACCTATCTTCTGCATTGCTCATGCTGGGAGCTGTAGACTGGAGCTCTTCCTATTCGGCCATCTTGGAACCTCTTAAATTATTTTTGTTTTGTGTGATTGCAATTTTGGAATGTTTCTTCAGGTGCAACGAAGGGCGTGTTGGTAGACATTGTGAATGCAGCACAGATGAAGTTAACAGTGAAGACATGGACGCTTACTGCAGAAAAGAAAACAGTTCAGAAATCTGCAGTAACAATGGAGAGTGCGTTTGTGGACAGTGTGTTTGTAGGAAGAGGGATAATACAAATGAAATTTATTCTGGCAAATTCTGCGAGTGTGATAATTTCAACTGTGATAGATCCAATGGCTTAATTTGTGGAGGTAAGTAAAGGACCTGAAGTGCTTGTAAGACGTGATCTCATCTAATGCCACAAAAAATCTAGAGTTTACTTGGTGCATAAGTAGAAGAGGGGTAGCTCGAGGGTCAGTTCTGCCCCAGGTATACTTTCTCACACGTTGTTGCTTATTTTACTTTTCAGTCAATACTGTGATTGTATGTTTTTACCATTAGTTTGAGAAATGATATGCTTAATTGCAGGAAATGGTGTTTGCAAGTGTCGTGTGTGTGAGTGCAACCCCAACTACACTGGCAGTGCATGTGACTGTTCTTTGGATACTAGTACTTGCGAAGCCAGCAACGGACAGATCTGTAATGGCCGGGGCATCTGCGAATGTGGTGTCTGTAAGTGTACAGATCCGAAGTTCCAAGGGCAAACATGTGAGATGTGTCAGACCTGCCTTGGTGTCTGTGCTGAGCATAAGTAAGTATTTCCTAATTGCTTGAAATAGTTGATACTTCCTCTTGGCTCTCCAAAGCCTGTGTTGTTACTAGAACCGGAACAGTGCCAGTATTAGAATATACTATAAATAAAATGCCTGCCACGTGGAAGCCTACTCTTTAATTCCTAAAAGTTTTTTCTCAACAGCTAGTATGTATTACATGGTATGAAGTGTGTCATGTGAGAGTTGTACTATTATTTTGATCTGAATGTGGTAGATAATTGAATTTACATGGTAACCTTTATTTTGGCAATTAAGATTTAATTTAGTTTGTCATTACCAATTTCTTAATTACTATCTTTTGACAAAACTAAGCCAAATTAAAGATTTTTCCTCTTGAAGGATTATTATACTAGTAACATATTTAAATTATTTAAATATTATGATTTTGGCCGAGGACAGTGGCTCACACCTATAATCCCAGCACTTTGGAAGGCCGAGGCAGGTGGATCACTTAAGGTCAGGAGTTTGAGACCAGTCTGGCCAATGTGGTGAAACCCCATCTCTACTAAAAATACAAAACTTAGCCAGATATGGTGGTGTGTGCCTATAATCTCAGCTACTTGGGAGGCTGAGGCATGAGAATTGCTTGAACCCGGGAGGCAGAGGTTATAGTGAGCCAAGGTTGTGCACTGCCTGGACGACAGAGCAAGACTCCATGGCAAAAAAAAATTATTATGATTTTATGTTACATATTTAATATGTGATAGGGCTAATTTATTTTACTATCTTTTATTAATAGTGTTTTAATTTGAACTGTAATAAATCTTTTATTATGGAAATTAGCATCTTTTTACATAATTTTTCTATCCACAAATGTAATGCATCTCTTCATTTATTCAGATCCTCCTTCATAGCTGTTTGTTCAATTTGGTCACAAGAGTTTAGCATGGGAAATATGTTTAAGCAAATATTTATTGAAATAATAAAATTTAAATATAATAATATGGTTTTTTTTTAACAGAGAATGTGTTCAGTGCAGAGCCTTCAATAAAGGAGAAAAGAAAGACACATGCACACAGGAATGTTCCTATTTTAACATTACCAAGGTAGAAAGTCGGGACAAATTACCCCAGCCAGTCCAACCTGATCCTGTGTCCCATTGTAAGGAGAAGGATGTTGACGACTGTTGGTTCTATTTTACATATTCAGTGAATGGGAACAATGAGGTCATGGTTCATGTTGTGGAGAATCCAGGTAGAAATGCGATGATTGCAAACATTCTTTTCATATCTTGTATGTCTTGTTTCTGCTTATTTAGGCCTAACATCCAGAAACAGTCTCCAGCTGGAATATTTTAGGTCAAGTTGGGAAATTTTTCATCTTTCAAAGCTTAAGATATTACCTAATTAACTGTATAAGAAATAAGGAAAACAGAGTTCCACTTTTAAGTTTTCTAAGTGGAGAGTTTGAAGATTAAATGCAGTGATTTATATAAGACACTTAGAACGATGCCTGACACCAAGTGCGTAGTAAGAGTTTTTTTTTTATGATTGATGATTTTAAAATTAGAGCTTGATTTAAGTTTGAATACTAGGAAAGATAATTTGTTAAAGGATATTAATGTAAAGTGTTGATTTTGTTCAACTTCTCTGAAGGTGAAACTTTTTTTTTTTTTAATCTTAGTTTTCCTGGTAGCCTTTTTGTAGATTCTTTAGAATTTTCTACCTTAGTGTACATGTTTTTGTGTAAACATAAGCTTTCATTTCTCTTGGGTAAATAGTAAAAATGGCATTTTGGAGCATATGGTAAGCATATGTTTAACTTTGTAAGAAGCTGCCAGGTTCTTAGAGTCCTGTAGTGTTTTGAATTATCATCTAGGTGTTTTGCAAATATTGTCTCCCAGCCTGTGCCTCCTTATCGTTTCATTTTTTTAAGTGTCTTTTGAACACCACAGGTTTTAATTTTGATTAAGTACAGTTTACCAAGTTTTTCTTTTGTGGCTCTTATTTTTACATTGTCTTTCAGAACTCTGCCTAACCCAAGATTTTAAGGATTTTTCTCCTGTGTTTTTTTCTAGAAGTTTTATAGTTTCTGGGGTTTCACATTTAGATCTGTAACTCATCTTTAGTTATTCTTAGTGTGTGACAAAAGGCTCAGTTTTTTTCATATCAGTGTCCACTTGTTCTAGGGGCATTTGTTGAAAAAAGACTGTCCTTTCTCCACCTTTGTTGGAAATCAGGTGACCTTACATGTGTAGGCCTGTTTCTGACTCTATTCTGTTCCATGTGTCTGAGTGTCTATCTGTTAGCTATACCACGTGGTCTTGTAGCTTTCTTTATAGCTAGCCCTGTAAGCAGGTAATAAGAGTCTTCCAACTTTATTATTTTACAAAAGTGTTTTTGAGACACTTTCCCTAGTTCACTGCCTTCCACGTTAATTTTAAAATTGGCTTGCTGATTGCTACAGAAGTTCTGCCAGGAGTTTGAGTGGGATACTATTGAGTTTATAGATCAAACTGGGAAGAATTGACATCTTAACAGTATTAGGTTTTGTAACTCCTGCACATGGAGTATCTCTCCATTTATTCAGTCTGAAAGATTTCTTTTTATCAGTGTTTAGTAATTCTTAACATGCAAATTTTGCATATATTTTGTTAGACTTATATGTAAGTTTTTCATGCTTTTTCATTCTATAGTAAATATTACTGTTTAAAAATTTCTGTTTTCAATATGTGGAAATAAATTATATATATAGAAAAGTACATGATTTTTGTTCATTGATTATGTATCCTGCAAGCTTGTAAACTCACTTGTTAGTTCTAAAAGCTATTTTATAGATTCTTTGGGATAGTGTGCATTCACTCTCTTGGGTGTTTATTCCTATATTTTTTTTTAATAAGATACTGCCCAGCTTTGTGGTACTTATTATAACCTCCTTATTTTCCAGAGTGTCCCACTGGTCCAGACATCATTCCAATTGTAGCTGGTGTGGTTGCTGGAATTGTTCTTATTGGCCTTGCATTACTGCTGATATGGAAGCTTTTAATGATAATTCATGACAGAAGGGAGTTTGCTAAATTTGAAAAGGAGAAAATGAATGCCAAATGGGACACAGTAAGTTACAAAACATCTAAAAAGCAAAGTGGCTCATAAAGTAAATGTAATACTCCTAAGACTTATATATTAACTGTCAGGGTGATCATTAAAGTCATTTTTAAGTGTTTTATTCCCCCAAAAGTTACTCAAGGAATTTGCATTTAGTGAAAAACAGAAAGCATCCTAAATATATCCCATTGAAACAAAACATTGATTATAAGCATGTATATTCTGGTTACTGTGGCCAGTATTTTTATTTCTTTAATAGTTTCGATCCTAAATCTGCCTTTTCATCTAATGTGGGGCAGAATCCTAAATAATGTTATCTGTGTAGCAAGCTATTCAATGGAAAGCTGTTTCTTTCTTTAAAAAAAGAAACAAAAAAACAACCTTCAATGAAAGCCAGATTCAAAAGGTTGTATACCAAGTTTGTCCAACTTGCAGCTTGTGGGCCAGGACATGCAGACCAGAACAGCTTTGAATGTGGCCCCAACACAAATTTGTAAACTTTCTTAGAAATTGTAAGTTGTTTTTTTTTTTTTGGTGACTTTTTTTTAAGCTTATCGGCTATTGTTAGTGTATTTTATGTGTGGCCCAAGACAATCATTCCAATGTGGCCCAGGGAAGCCAAAAGATTGGACACCCCTGCTGTATACAATATGATTCCATTTAGAAGATATTCTGGAAAAGCAAAACTGTAGGGGCAAAAATCAGTGGTTGCTAGGGGCTGGAACGGAGGAAATGGTTGACCACAACAGGGCGTAAGGAATCTTCCTGGGGATGATCTTGATTGTGGGTAGATTTATGTATTTGAAAACTCACAGAACTATGTACTTTAAAAAGATGTGTGTTCCTCTATGAAAACTGTATCTCAGTAAACCTTAGCTTATAAAAATCTTAAAAGCCCTAAGTGACTGAAAGTTTATGTTAGCATTTTTAGAGCTTTGAAATAAGGAGTCAGAGGGTGGGGTAACCAAATGTTGGCCTTTGTGTATCCATCTTTTGATACAAGAAAGCAATGACAATCTTCAGTATTTTTAAATTGTAAATGAATTGTAGTTAGTTGCACTTTACTACAATTTCCTTGGGTTTTTTAAAATTATCAGTTTTTTAAATTATAAATTGCAGAAGGGTAGAAATAGAAAAAAAATTCCCTTTATAGTGTTTGAACACTATAAATGTCCTTTTTTTTTCTGATGAAATCATTAGAAACTATTTCTTTTACTTTAGCAAGAAAATCCGATTTACAAGAGTCCTATTAATAATTTCAAGAATCCAAACTACGGACGTAAAGCTGGTCTCTAAATTGCCGTTCGTATTTTCCTTCACTTTCTGCCTTTGCATGTGAACTTTTATCTTTTTTACTGCACTGTGTGTCCTTATCACTATTGCTGGTCTTTTTTTAAGTCTGGCTTTAAATATCGCTATTGTGGCTTTTCTTTTTGTGTGTTAACTTCGCGTTTTTCTTAGAAAGACTGTAAAATAAGTCATGTGATATAGAACAGCAGCTATGTTGTAGTGAAAAGAGAATGTGCTTTGCAATTAGTTAGACATTAGGTCAAATCCCACCTCTTCCACTTAGTAAGCAGAACAGCATTGAGCCACTTCACTTCTCATCTATCACAGGGAGTCAGTACTCTGTATTGTATGGGGTGGTTGTATTTGGCAAATGCACTCTAGTATATGAAATCAGCCTGTCAGCTCTAATCCTCACAACAGTCCTATGCCTAGAATAATATTATCCTTTTTTCTTTTCCTTTTCTTTTTTTTTTTTTTTTTTTTTTTGAGACAGAGTCTTGCTCTGTCGCCCAACCTGGAGTGCAGTGGTGTGATGACAGCTCACTGCAACCTCTGCTTTCCAGATTCCAGCGATTCTCCTGCCTCAGCCTCCCAAGTATCTGGGATTACAGGTGCCTGCCACCACGCTAGGCTAATTTTTTTATTTTTAGTAGAGACGGGGTTTCACCATGTTGGCTGGGCTGGCCTTGAAGTCCTGACCTCTGGTGTTCCACCTGCCTTGGCCTCCCAAAGTGCTGGGATTACAGGTGTGAGCCACTGTGCCCCACCAGTATTATCCTTAAATAACAAATTTGTTATGAGTAAATTTTAGGGTCGGATAGTGAAAATTGATCATGAAATCCAAATTGCAGAATAGAAAATTAAATGTAACCTAGTGTGATATTTGTATGGTATGCAACTACAGTATCATTATTGGTTCTCAAAAGATTTGAGATCAGTTTCTTGAATATAACTTGAAATTTCATTAAAAGCCAGAAGACCATATATATGTATGTATATTATATATATGTGTGTGTGTCTGTGTATGTGAGAATGATTCTAATTTTCAAATGTAAGTTTATAACTTCATACCTGAATTTTCATGAAATGTTTCCAGCATATTCTAATATAATCATGCAAGCCCCTAAAACTCTGATAACAAAGGTTAATTGTGATTAGAACTAAATTCTCCTGACTGGTGATTGAGAACTCTTCCTCCTTTTCCCAACTGTCTGACTATAATAGGGCCTGGAAGATTTCCACTTTTCTCACTGCCTACCTTATTGTGCAGATAAAGACAGTGTTGGTGACACATACAGATCATTGTGTCTCAGGCATGATTCTAAACTCTTAATCTATATTTAATCTTCATAGTGAAAGTTGTAGGAATGTTTTACATATGAGAAAACTGAGACACATAAGGGTTATGTAACTTGACCGAGTTCCCATGGCTAGTCAGTCAGAGAGCTGAAATTTGAACCCAGGCAGTTGGGCTCCAGAGTCCATGTTCTTGTCTACGGCATTGTACTTCGTAGCAGTTATGTATCTTCAGAAGTCCCTGTTACCTGGTTAGGAAGAGGTAGATCACTCTTTATAGAGATTTACAGCCTTTTTACAATTTGTTGTTACTCTGTCAGAGTTAACACTGCTGCCGTTGGCAAACATCATATTAGGGACATCACTTTAATACATGGAACCCAGTGCTGCAGTTGTGCTTATTGACTGTTGAGAGTGTGCTTACAAACTGATCATGAATAAGAGCCTAAAGGACAGGAATGTTTAATAGTTACAAGTGATATGGGAAGTACTGATAACATTAGAAATCATTAACTTGTCAGATTTTTATTTCTAAGTAGATCGTAAGACTTTTTAAACTTAAATTTGTTGGCAGAAAATTATATTCAAATTTAACATACGAGCAGGTTGGTACAAATTTGTGTTAGTCTGAGACAACACATTTTTCTCGTTCTCACTTAGTACTTTACAGAAAGTCATTTTTAGAGGAAAACTGATTAGCCAATGACATTGCCAGGCTTTTTTTTCTTTTTTAATAGATATTATTTTCTTTAGTTGTAGGTCAAAAATAGGCAAATGTTGACAATTTCGTGTGGTTATTTCTCGCAGGAGAAAAAATTTCTGACCTACTGAGGTGAAATTTTCACCCTTGCTGTACCTTTAATTGTATTTTGAAGGAAATAATGAGTAAATGTTACTTAAACTTAATGTTTATAATGTATATATGGCTAAAATGTTGCTAAAATAAGCATTTTATGTAATTCAAGAAGCAAAAGTTTGGTAAACATTTCTCTATGCATTATTGAAGTCCAGGCAATTTGATGGCTACAGATTATTTTAAGAGATGTTTTCTCAAGAAAAAGTAGAAATTAACAATTGAAATAAACGAAGGAGCATCAAGAAATTACATCACGGATTGTAAAAAACTTTTCTGATACGGACCAAGGTTTGCCAGTCAATTACGTCATTAAACTTTTTGAAATAATGGGTAGGCACTAATTACTTTGGCACCAGACTATCATGTAGGAACATTAAAAAAGAACATGTCACATTACCAGCTTCTAACTGTTGGAGTGGGTTAAAAAAAATGGTCTGTCCTCATCTGCTCTATGCAGGTTTAAATGTGGATCCCAAATCTCCCACAGTTCTGCATTACATATTTAATACATTATAGAAATGGTTCTGTAGCCACCACTGTCAGCCATTCCAGAGTGAGCACAAAGATGACATTTTATTGAGCTTGAGGGCTTCCTTTCATAATATAACCCTGTTCTCTTGATGTGGATTTTATTGGGGTGGGGGGGGTGGTGCACTCTGGATGATGGAAACTAATCTGAATTATTTTAGTTCACCTTCATTTAAAATGATGCCTAATGCAGATAGTGAGCTTAATTTTACTTCTAACCTTGCATGTTAAACTTTTGTTTGAATGGACTTTGAAATAATAAATACAAATGTTTGTGTATATGACAAGACAGATTTTTCTCCAAAGGTAAGTTCTTCCATATAAATTACACTTTGGACTCATCTGTATAGGGCTTTTTTTATTTTTTGTTTTCTTTTTTTTTTGTCCTTCCCTTATAATTCTTGAGTATTAAATACTAGATTTAGCAAATATATTATTTTAAAGAAACTTAGATGGTAATTAATTTTCCCAACATATTTGAAGGAATGCGTAGCACTTAGCCTCAAATCAGATAGGATATAAATGTGGAGTGTAATTTGCATTCTGGCTTTTTAAGATGGTAGTTGCTAGAATCCGGTTTCCTGACCCCCATTTTGAAATGTCTGCTCTCAAAACTGTATAATGTATTAGCTTCAGTTGGGACTAGAGCTGAGAGTTTGATGTACACAGTTTTGTCATCCACATCATATGCTGTTTGAGGGATCCTGAGCTTGTCCATGTTTCTGCAGCAACCATTCAAGGTGTATTTTGAGGAGGGGGAGTGATGAGGACTGAGGCATGTTGTCAGGTTCTGATTGGTATCACGTGAGCTGCTGAGCTGAAATCACAGAGGTTTATTTGGTGTCTTGTGGGACCCAGCCTTTTATATGCTACATTTTTCCCTTGGTGGTATGGGATACCTACAGGGTGAAGGTCAGACTTCATAGCAAGGCTTCTAGGGCCGTTCTTCCTTTGTCTCCTCACCTCAAACCATATGCCCCCTTAAATCTTTTTTTTTTTTTTTTTTTTTTTTTGAGATGGAGTCTTGCTCTTTTGGCCAGGCTGGAGTGCAGTGCTGCGATCTTGGCTCACTGCAATCTCCGCCTCCCGGGTTCAAGTGATTCCCCTATCCCAGCCTCCCGAGTAGCTGGGATTACAGGCACACGCCACCACACCCAGCTAAGTTTTGTACTTTTAGTAGAGACAGGGTTTCACCATGTTGTCCCGGCTGATCTCAAACTCCTGACCTCAAGTGATCCACCCCTCGGCCTCTCAAAGTTCTGGGATTACAGGCATGAGCCACTGCGCCTGCCCTCCCCTAACTCTAAAAGCTTCTGAACTATATATATTTCTATTTAAATGTCCCATTCTTTTCCCTACACCTTGACCTTGCATAGATTTCTGTTTACCAGCCAATAATTTATCTATAGTCAATTTCACAATGAAAATCTCCTTAATCTTCTTAAAGTTGATAACTTTTTTCTTATACCATTCCCAGATTATGTTCATAACTCTATTGTAAACTTTATCAGAGTGCCTTATTTTCATGTCTCTCACCCACCAAACCCCTTGAGGGCAGAAATTGTGGCACCAAAAGGCAGATCCAAATACAGTCTGCAATGAAGTGTGAATAAAATTTAAAAACAAAATTTACTTTTAGATCAAAAAATGTTTTTAGATGCTTTCTATTTTTTAAAAAATCACCTGCAGTTGGTTCTATAGTGAGATACAAAACTGAACAACATTCCAAAATTTTAATTTTTTCCTGAAAAAAAATTTTCCTGGTAGTTAACAAGTATTTTTGATTTGTACTCACTGTAATTTGCTCTGCTAAAGTGTTATTTGGTCACACTTCTCACTTGGCTTTCAAGCCTGCTTTCAATTTATAAGAACAGGAGAAAAAAGAATGCTATGGCAAGTATTTACATGTAGCACTTGCAGTATAAGAGAATTTTTAAGGAAAATGGTGATACAGTGATATGTTTTTTTCTGCTGAAAACATCACTGTCAGTATATTTTTGGATCTTGAAAGATCTCTTGTGTTTATGGCTTGGAGCCTGCTTGCTAGCCTTGATTTCATACTGTTTACTAAATTATAGCATTGCAATAGGACATTTCACCAATATGATATTGAAGAATAACTATTTCATAAGGAATGGTAATTATCTAACATTCTAAGCAAATTTGGCAGTGTGACTTGGTGGGGCACAGTGCTGTCCATGACACAATGGCAGCCTTACCCTCTAAATTAGTAACTTCTGTAAGAGACCCCAGAAGCACACCCCCCTCCCAGCAGTGAAAGCCAAGGATTCCCGTTTTGATTAGCAGGCGCCTTCTGTTCACAATAAAGGGATAAGAATCAGGCAGTGATGGCAGCAGAGTTCATGCTTCCTTAAGGCAGGCATTACAGACTAATTCAAAGGAGAGAATCCACTGTGACAGTACATTCTGTGCCATGGAGAACATTCTTAAGCCTTCAGTGGAGGGAAGGACTCAAGAATGAAATAGCACCAGATAGGGGCATCATTAGACTTGTAAAGCAAAGCTTCCATTTTCTATTTTTATATAAGCCATTATTAATACCTTTAAAACAACTGTGATATCTGGACAAATAAAATAGAAATGACTTCTTAAGATGATTACAACTCTTAGTCTTGATTTATAAAAATTATTCTATATAATTTTAGTAGAGTGATAATTTTTCTTTTTTTTTTTTTTTTAGGGTGAAAATCCTATTTATAAGAGTGCCGTGACAACTGTGGTCAATCCGAAGTATGAGGGAAAATGAGTACCGCCTGTGCAAATCCCACAACACTGAATGCAAAGTAGCAATTTCCATAGTCACAGTTAGGTAGCTTTAGGGCAATATTGCCATGGTTTGGCTCATGTGCAGGTTTTGAAAATGTACAATATGTATAATTTTTAAAATGTTTTATTATTTTGAAAATAATGTAATTCATGCCAGGGACTGACAAAAGACTTGAGACAGGATGGTTATTCTTGTCAGCTAAGGTCACATTGTGCCTTTTTGACCTTTTCTTCCTGGACTATTGAAATCAAGCTTATTGGATTAAGTGATATTTCTACAGTGATTGAAAGGGCAATAGTTAATGAGCATGATGAGAGTTTCTGTTAATCATGTATTAAAACTGATTTTTAGCTTTACAAATATGTCAGTTTGCAGTTACGCAGAATCCAAAGTAAATGTCTTGCTAGCTAGTTAAGGATTGTTTTAAATCTGTTATTTTGCTATTTGCCTGTTAGACATGACTGATGACATATCTGAAAGACAAGTACATTTAGAGTTGCTGGTGTAAAATAGGGTTGAAATAGTTGATCTCCACAGGCCATGGGAAAAATTCAGAGAGTTAGGAAGGAAGAACCAATAGCTTTAAAACCTGTGTGCCATTTTAAGAGTTACTTAATGTTTGGTAACTTTTATGCCTTCACTTTACAAATTCAAGCCTTAGGTATAAGAACCGAGCAATTTTCTGCTAAAAAGTCCTTGATTTAGCACTATTTACATAAAGGCCATACTTTGCAAAGTATTTGCTGAATGGGGACCTTTCAAGTTGAATTTATTTTATTTTATTATTTTTATTTTGTTTAATGTCTGGTGCTTTTTATCACCTCTTCTAATCTTTTAATGTATTTGTTTGCAATTTTGGGTAAGACTTTTTTTATGAGTACTTTTTCTTTGAAGTTTTAGCGGTCAGTTTGCCTTTTTAATGAACATGTGAAGTTGTACCGTGGCTATGCAACAGCTCTCACCTATGCGAGTCTTACTTCGAATTAGTGCCATAGCAGACCACTGTATGTTTACTTCTCACCATTTGAGTTGCCCATCTTGTTTCATACTAGTCACATTCTTGTTTTAAGTGCCTTTAGTTTTAACAGTTCACTTTTTACAGTGCTATTTACTGAAGTTATTTATTAAATATGCCTAAAATACTTAAATCGGATGTCTTGACTCTGATGTATTTTATCAGGTTGTGTGCATGAAATTTTTATAGATTAAAGAAGTTGAGGAAAAGCATTTCTGGTTGGTGGGTAGTTCACTTATGAAGCTAAAACATAATTCTTTAAAAGAATGTACTAGGAACATAAGGAGAATGGTATGGTAAAATAGAGACTTGAAGACTGTCCTTGGGCTCTCTGAATAATGGTGGATAGATCCTTATGCTGCTGTGCTGGGAGACAGATTTCATCCCAACATTAAGCAGAATTAAATTTATGAACATCTTAGAGCCATTAGTAGGTGCTGGAAACTGTATCAGTTTATTTAAGATAGGGGATTGTTAACTTTTCTGATAAGAAAAATTAGGAAAAATTTTACTTTTATTTGGCTTTGGTTTATGTTTGAAAGGGTATATCCATAAGAACTACTTGTGTAAAGCTTATTAGAAGAAATATATGCTCCTTTCTTAAGCATACAACAAATGTCAGAAATATTTGGAGGAGAAAAGGTTTCAGCCTTGCTAGCCTCTCACGTTTATACAATCCCTTCACATCCTGTTAATTGATCTTCTTTTAGTTACTCCATTTAAATGTGTGTCATAGCTTAAAGCATCTTTGAGGTGAGAATTACACATTTTTACTAATAGTTTGTAAGATCCATCAAAAAATTATATTTATTATTCTCTGTCACCCTGTTTCATCTTGTTTACCACCATCCATAATTCCACTTAATTCATTTCCCTATGCCTTAGGCATAATCAGTAAAGTTGAATTGCATATTTCTGCTCCAGAACTCTGCTCTTATAATGGTATTTTAAAAATATATTAGAACAAAGTAACAAAGCATATCTTCTATATGTACGTATTTTTTTTTTTTTCCCAAACACGTGCCTGGAGGCTGGAAGATGGTGAATTTTTAGATTTTATATTATAATGTATAGCAGACAAAAAGATTTTCTAACTATAGGAATCCCTTTGTTGGAAGTTGGAGGAATTGCGTACAAGTTTATTTTTCATGCTGACCGTAAGATCCTAAAATACTTAAATTGGATGACTCAGTTTGACATTTGAGTAATTCTAGGCTTGAAACTGGCAATTTCAAAATATAGTCTGAGAAATTGATAATAGTATATCTATCTATATGTAGATATACACACCACACATTGAGATGCTTTGACTGAAGCCACATAGAACTTCATCACTAAAATATTTATTTTCCCAGCAACAGTACTTTTTGATCTCCAGTGAAACACTTTCCAAAAAGCAAGAGTCCAGGAAGCAAATAACAATCAGAATTTTTTTTCCATTTATACTATAGAAATTTACAAAATATTAAGTATCATGAGTACATTATTTGGCTAATGTCAAATAGTGGCATATTTTACAGTGATTCCATGACATTTTACAAAGTTTTCTTACTCTTTTCCAGTCTTACTTTATGAATTTCCTTAATACAGACACCCAGGTAAGACCTTGAGCCACAAGAATAGTTCATAATACCACTTAAAAAGTCACCTGTGGTCAGCTTTTTGTTTTTACCTGGAATTTTTCCTTTCTGTTGCCCACTGCAGTTTGAGAGAGAACCTGAAGTAGAAGCCATTTGTCTTTATCCCTTGGAGGCTTAATGTTTACATTTTTTAAACGTTCATTTTTATAGATTCCAGGGGTACATGTGCAGGTGTGTTAACATGGACATGCTGCATAATGGCTACTAGTGTACCCATCACCTTAGTAGTGGACATTATAGTCAATAGGTAATTTTCCACCTTTCACCCTCTTACTACCCTCTCTCTTTTGGAGTCCCGGGAGTCTGTTCTTTCCCTCTATATGTCCATGTGTACCCATTGTTTAGCTTCCACTTACGAGTGAGAACGTGTGATAGTTGATTTTCTGTTTCTGAATTACTTCACTTAGGGTGATGGCCTCCAGCTCCATCCGTGTCACTGCGAAAGACATGACTTCATTAAGGCCTAGATATTTCTGATCTGATATGCTCAAAGAAGTTCAGAAACAAAATGAGTATCTCCTCAGGACTCCTTTTCAACCTGTAAAGATCCTTCACTGGCTCTTTAGAATTTCTCTCATGACTCAGGATTCTTCTGAGAATTTAGGGATAGGTGGAAGTGACTTCTGAGTGATGAGTGGGAGCAGATTTTCAAGGTGGTTTAGGTCTAGATTAAGTAGCCCATCAAATCTCCACTGCTCTGAGGGTGATATGTCATCTAAGTGTGAACCTTTAGAGTACAAAAATGGTAGGAGAACCATGAGACAAGTATTAAGTTCACTGATACGGCAATTCTTATCTTCATTTGCTTCTACAGTTAAGTCTTCACTAGACTTTTAATTAAGATTTTAAATTTTTGAGGGTATAGAGTTTCCATAAAACATCAGTGATAATACATTTTATTTGACTTTCTACTTACTCTGGATTCTAAAACAGATGGACATAGAAACAATTTACTTATGGATCAGTTTGAGAGAGGAAACACGATTCAGAAGATGTAAATCCCAGAATTTAATCCATTGCTTTACTGCAAGTTTACAGAAGACACATTTGTCTTCACTTTTATCTGCAGTAGTTGATATATTGACTTTACATGTGAAAACTTACACTAATGTTGCTTACTGACCAAAATTATTCCTGGGAGGTAAAGAAACCTTCAGATTTTCTACAGTAACCACTGACGGGCCCCCTAGCAGCCATTTTAAACATAAATTTGATGGTGTGGCCCAAACATCCACAGTCCAGTTCAACTTTCAGATCCTCAAGCCTGCCATAGTCCTTTGTGTTTGGTATTGCTTTCTTATCCTTAAATGTGGTAGCTCCATGAGCACAGGGACCTGTGTTTTGATTCACTGTGTCTGCATACTTCACTTCGCAGAACATTTTCAAGGTCCATTCATGTTGTAGCATGTATCAGAACTACACTCCTTTTGTGGCTAAATATTCCATTGCCTGTGTATAGCATATTTATCCATTCATTTTTCAGTGGACACTTGGGGTGTTTCCACCTTTTGGCTCTTACGAATAATATTGCAATAAATATTGGCATATAAGTATCTGTTCAAGTTCATACCTTCAGTTCTTTATATGCCTAAAAGTAGATTCACTGGATCATACAGTAATCGTGTTTTGCTCTTTGAGGAACTGCCAAACTGTTTTCCACAGTGGCTGCACCATTTTACATTCCCACCAGCAATGTATAAGGGTTCACCAGAGAACCCTCAGAACAGAACAGATACTTCACCAGAGAAGATCAATGGCAAAAAAATCAGAAAAGAAAACAATGGAAATGCAAATTAAAGTCACAGTGAGATATCATTAGATACCAATTAGAATGGCTAAAGTTTAAATGGCTGAAAATACCAATTGTATCCTTAGAACAATATCTGGCACAAAGTAAGGTGTAAGCAACCAATAAGTATTTGTTGAGTAGATGGATTCATTTCTGTAATTTGCTACCGTGCCCACCTACCTATTAGCATCTGCAGTGACATACTGGCCTTCCTGCCAGTTCTTCTAGATAAATTCTCCAAGGCCAGACCTTCCACTTGTATTCCTCTTCCAAACTCCATCACTTATTGCCTGCTAAGACAAGCAGTTCTCTCCTCTCCTGCATCATCAATTTTCCCCTCTTCTGGGTCATTCCCCTCAGTAACAAACATACTATAGTTACCATCTCTGTTTCTCTCTTTCCTTTTACAACTCAGGAGTTGTCTAAACCATACATCTGTGACTAAATGATTTTTGACAAGGTTTCCAAGTTTGTTCAATGAGGAAAGAAAAATCTTTTCAACAGATGATGCTGGAATAACTGGATTTCCACAAGCAAAAGAGTGAATTCAGAGCCCTAACTCACACCATATACAAATATTTACTCCAAATAGATCAGTGACATATCTAAATATAAGAGCTGAAACCATCAGACTTTTAGAAGAAACATAGGGGTGTACTTCATGACCTTTAATTTGCCAAAGGGTTCTTAAGACACCAAAAGCATGAATAACAAAAGATAAATTGGACTTCATCAAAATTAAAATTAAAAAATTTTTATGCACAAAATTAAAAATATTTGTGCATCAAAGGACATTATCAAAAAAAGTAAGGCAACCTACAGAATGGGAGAAAATACTTGTAAGTTATATATCTGATAAGGGATTAATACCAGAATATATAAAGAACTACAATTTAACAAAAAGTCCAATTAAAAATGGGCACAGCATTACTAATTTCTCTAATGAAGATACATGAATGGCTAACATATTTTGAAAAGAGACTCAGAATCGTTAGTCATCAGGGCAATGCAAATTAAAACCGTAATGAGGTACCACTTCACACTTACTAGGATGGCTCCACTTTTTAAAAAGTGGAAAGTAAGTGTTGGCAAGCATAGAACTCAGAAACCAGAATGCACTGCTGGTGGGAATGTAAAGTGGTACAACCACTGTGGAAAACAGTTCAGCACTCCCTCAGAGCTAAACATAAAATTACCATATGACCCTTCATTTATACTTTTAGATGTATAGTCAAAAGAAAGTAGGGGCTCGAACAGATACTTATATGCTCGTATTAATTGCAGCATTATTCACAGTAGCCAAAACTTGGAAACAACCTAGATATCCATTGAAAAGTGAATGAAGAAAATGCATCATATATGGGACAGTGGCATATTATACAGCCATAAAAGGAATAGAGTTTTGATACATGCAACATGATGAATCTTGCAGATGTTATGCTAAGTGAAATAAATAGACACAAAAGGACAAATACGTGTTCCACTTACATGAAATACTTTGAATAGGTAAGTTCCCTACAGACAGAACAGCAGTTACTAGGTGCTGGGGGGTGGTGGAAGTGGGAAGTTATTGCTAATGGCCGTAGAGTTCTGTTTGGGATGGTTAAAAATTTTGGAAATAGTGGCGATGGTCACATAACATTGTGAAGGTAATTAATGCCACTGAAACAAAGTAGCTTTAATTGCAAAAAAAAAAAAAAAAAAAAGAA